GCCCACAATTTCCATTGGCAAGGCTGAAGCATACGTTGCGAAAATCAACCGTTGCTTACTGGTGATATTCTCATCTATATTGGATATGTTTATTTAGCTGAAAGAGAGAATTAGTGACAGACAATGTCCATAGAATAAGATGTAATATCAGTATAATATGACTTCTGTGTAGCATATAGCAGAGCATGAATATACCGACCGTAGTTAGAAAATAGGTTTTGATGAAATCAAGTTGTAGTAGCATTCTAAACTGAGTCGAACTCTCGATTATTGAATTCACATTTATTAACATGGGTTTCCGTTGGCCATATATTTTTGGTCTGGTCAATGCTACAGATGGATTATTGGTAATTCGACTCAACTGGAGTACTGAATAGCATTCAATCACTAACCTTCGCTTTCACACACCTTGACAGTTTCTCGTTGAGCATCTCTCGGTGAGTTTGTGTCATCAGAAAACCTGTCACCCAATGAGTTCGAAACTCCACGACATCATTTCGTCTGTTCGACTGCATTGTCCTAAGACATTTTAGTAGTTAAGAAAACGGTTACTTGCGTGTTTCTATGAGATGGATTGTGAAAATGTGCAGAAGAAGGATTCACAAGGCAACGCAGTATTGACTTACTGTTGTTCCATGTGTGATGGAGCTGATGAACTTCATTTATGGTAATCGGAATGCCAAGAAGCATAGCTTGGCCTGGTTTAAAATGGAATCGTGGCTGTTCGCTGTGATGAAAAACAGTCACGTAGCAATACCTGTGTACATATTATGGTTTATTCGTCGACTGTGTAAAAATAAACACTGCTGCATACACATAGATAATCGGTCAATCTTGAGGTGCAAAATTGAGCTATATATTGAATCACTGAATGATGACCCGCTGTGTATGCCACCTATGACCCTATTTGATTGACTGGATCTATGGCTGAGCCTGAACCAGACTGATTCTGGGAACGGAAGCCACCGGCAGCCAAAGCGCACCTGTTGTCTCTGGTCAGGATTTTGCTGGGCTAGTTGAAAAATATGGAGAATGGCGGCTGCAGTTCACGCAGGTTGTCGTCCTGAAGTAATTGGCAAGGAAACCCTCGAAAAATAGGTTACGCACGGTAGAGTAATGGGGGCCGGCTATTGCGTCGAACTGGCAAATAGTGGGATCACTTGCGGTCCGGAAATACGGTACCATTAAGATCTTCGTGACTGACCAGAAGCCTGGAAGTCTGTCGTCCGATGCCACTATGGACATCTGATGACTGAGGACAAAAATGCATATGGGATGTTGTCATAGTGTTCGCTACCCAAAGGTCCGCTGAACGGATCGCACAGTGTAGCAACGGAGATCAAATATTCTTCAGAAAATAGTAATGTCGGGGCTGCATCTGATTATTTAAAGTATACTGAGACCCCAATTATTACATGCATGAAAGAAGGCGAGCACTTATGGACAATATCAGCACGTAAGGTAATTTTTCATTATTTATAGCACTAATAGGAATCGATATTATGAGCATGGTTAAAGGCGCCATGATCGGCTGATTTTCATAAAAATTCCAAAACGATTCTATCTTTGCTCATTAACCGCAATCGTGTAGCATCCGTACGAGAACGAACCTTTTCCGATTTCGAAATTCAGTGTTCGTAAAAACCGCGCAGAAACGATGCCAAATACCGCCATTGGTCCGTCCATAATACTACCAAACCTGTAGATGGATGACCTCACCATACAGGTTCACGGACACTGAGGTATCGAACAGCAAACGAAACTAC